CCCCTCTCCCCGCAGATCCTGTACAACCGCACCATGGTGCAGGGGCCGGGGTGTGTGTGCGGGGCGTGGGGCGGGGCGGTGGGGGCAGGCCGTGGGGCGGGGTGGGGGCAGGCCGTGGGGCGGCGCGGGGCGGTGGGGGGCAGGCCGTGGGGCGGCGCGGGCCGGCTCTCACCCCTCTCCCCGCAGATCCTGTACAACCGCACCATGGTGCAGCTGGGGATCTGCGCCTTCCGGCAGGGGATGACGAAGGACGCGCACAACGCGCTGCTGGACATCCAGTCGTCCGGCCGCGCCAAGGAGCTGCTGGGGCAGGGGCTGCTGATGCGCAGCCTGCAGGAGCGCAACCAGGAGCAGGAGAAGATCGAGAAGCGGCGCCAGGTCCCCTTCCACATGCACATCAACCTGGAGCTGCTGGAGTGCGTCTACCTGGTGTCGGCCATGCTGCTCGAGATCCCCTACATGGCCGCCCACGAGTTCGACGCCCGGCGCCGCATGATCAGCAAACAGTTCCACCACCAGCTGCGCGTGGGCGAGCGCCAGCCCCTGCTGGGTGAGTGGCCCTGCCCCACATCCCCCCCCATTCCCCCCACAGCCCTACCCCGTGCGTCCGCACTGCCCCATGTCCCCCATAGCCGTGCCCCCACGCTGCCCTGTTTCCCCCACAGGCACCCGCATCCCCCTAGGCACCCATGCGCTGCCCCATGCCCCCCAAGCACACCCACATCCCCACAGGCACCCATGCGCTGCCCCCTGGCACCCACCGTGGGCACCCCCGCGTCACCCCCACACAGGCACCCATGCGCTGCCCCTGGCCAGCCCCATGACCGCGGCGCTGGCCCCTGCTGGGTGAGTGCCTCTCTCTTTCCCCCCCCCCCCGGCACCCACCAGGGGCACCCACGCGCTGCCCCTGGCCAGCCCCATGACCGCGGCGCCGGCCCCTGCTGGGTGAGTGCCCCCTGGCCAGCCAGACACCTGTGCACTGTCCCAGGCCGCACAATCGCAGTCATCCCAGCCGGGGTCGTATGCCCGACCGCGGGGCCCCCAGAGCCAGCCACGCACGCTCCCCCCCATAGGGTCATAGTACCAGGTGAGCAATCCCCCCTCCCCTCTCCCCGGGGCTGGATGGGAGCCAGGGGAACCGCCCCATAGCGCCTGCTCTCCCGCTGCCCCCAGGCCCCCCCGAGTCGATGCGGGAGCACGTGGTGGCGGCGTCCAAGGCCATGAAGATGGGCGACTGGCGAACCTGCCACCGCTTCATCATCAACGAGAAGATGAACGGGAAGGTCTGGGACCTGTTCCCCGAGGCCGACAAAGTGCGAACCATGCTGGTCCGGTGAGTGGGGGTTTGGGGGTTATAGGTGGGGCAGGGGACTCTGGGGGGAGCAGGGGGCTGGTTGGCGCCATGCGGGGAGCGGGTGCTGTGGGGCGGAATGGGCTGGGGAGCAGGGGTGGGAGTTTGGGGGCTATAGGTGGGGCGGGGGGCTGTGGGGGGAGCAGGGGGCTGGTTGGGGCCATGTGGGGAGAGCGGGAGCTATGGGGTGGAACGGGCTGGGGAGCAGGGCTCTGGGGTGGCGCAGGGGGCGGGAGTGGGGGGAGGGGGAAGGGCCCCATACCCAGCCATGGGATTTCCGGCTGTGGGCGGTGCCCTGAGCTCACCGAGGGGCGGAGCCAGCGGTGACCACGCCCCCTTTGCTGCCCCTGTAGGAAAATCCAGGAGGAGTCGCTGCGCACCTACCTCTTCACCTACAGCAGCGTCTATGACTCCATCAGGTAGGGGCGGGGCCTGGGTGCCGGGGGCGGGGCCTGAGCGCTGGGGGCGGGGCCTGTCCCTAAGCCCCCTCTCTCTTTGCCCCCCCAGCATGGAGATCCTGTCGGACATGTTCCAGCTGGACCTGCCCACCGTGCACAGCATCATCAGCAAGATGATCATCAACGAGGAGCTCATGGTACGGGGGGGCTGGGGTCCGGCCACGGGGGGCAGGGCCTGGGCTGGGGGGGATGCAGGGCACTTGGGGGGCTGGTGGGAGGGACGCCGGGGGCTGCCTCGCCTGGGGGGGACTGTCAGGGTACAGGCAGGCCTGGGGGGGATGCAGGGCACTTGGGGGGTTGTGGGGGCTGGCTCGCCGGGGGTGTGTGTCGGGGTACTCTGGGGGGGGGCAGGGCACAGGCGGGGCTGGGAGGGGGGGGCAGGGCACTTGGGGGGCTGGGGGGCGGCGCCAGGCCCCGCGCTGACCCCCGGCCCCACAGGCCTCGCTGGACCAGCCCACGCAGACAGTGGTGATGCACCGCACGGAGCCGACCGCCCTGCAGAACATGGCCCTGCAGCTGGCCGAGAAACTGGGCAACCTGGTGGAGAACAACGAGCGCGTCTTCGACCACAAGCAGGGCACCTACGGCGGGTACTTCCGCGGTGAGTCTGCCCCACGGCCTGCCCCACACCTGTCCCCCCTCCCTGACACGACCCACCCCCCAGGGTGGGTACTTCCGCGGTGAGTCTGCCCCACGGCCTGCCCCACACCTGTCCCCCTCCCTGACACAGCCACCCCCCCAGGGTGGGTACTTCCGAGGTGTCTTGCCCACGGTCTGCCCCACAGCAATCTACCCTATGCACCACCTGCCCGCAGGCACCCATCCCCTGGGGTGAGTGCCTGCTCCCCATAGCCTGCCCTCTGCCCCGAAGCCCTACCCCACGCTGGGTACCTGGGGGGTGAGCCCCTCCCTGTGGCTGTTTCTAACCCCCTTCTCCCCCAGACCAGAAAGACGGCTACCGCAAGAACGAGGGCGGCTACATGCGCCGGGGCGGCTACCGCCAGCAGGAGCGACAGGCCAACTACTGAGCGCCCGGACGCCTGGGTCCTCGCCGGGGGGTGGGGGTGAGGGGGGGCGGCACGCGCTGTATTGGAGTTGGAATAAACAGCGTGAGCGGGAGAGACGTGGCCTGGAGTTCCTGGGGGGGCCGGGGGGGCTGGACCCAGAGGGTGGGAAGCCGCCACCTGAGGGCTCCCTTCTCTGCCAGCAGCCCCACAGGATTGGCCCAGCCGGGCGCCGCCCCCATTCACTCCCACGCT